AGATATACAATACTGTTTGACCTTTGTGTGAATATTCTTCTGGAACATTCTTTACAGCCTGACTTACCAGTGATCTGCTTATTTGTTGTATCCCACCTAATGCAGTCGAAGCCTTGTAAAGTTTGCCAGTAAACAACAATAATGCTTCTGGCTCTACAGACCAGCAGTTGTCAACTTCTCTCTATACTTGAAAGACATATTTCAGCATGTTGTCACATCATGGTGTTTGTCATGATCATGAACTATAGCAGGGCAGTGGGGTAACCGGTTGTTCAAGAGTTGGCTCATGTAGAAATCCTTGATTTGATACCATAATTAGATATGATGTCAAGTCCATTTCCAGTGTTCCTAGCCATAATATTGCATGAATATAAAATGGCCCTAAGACCAAACTCCTTCACTCACTTTGAACTTTAAAGAAATACCTTTGTGTGCTGGATGATACTGTGCACCTATCAGCAGTACTGGGTTCCCCCAAGATATCACAGTGCTGCTTCATCTTAATCTATTGTGATGGGATTGCCTTGTCAGGCATACATACTTGTCATCAACCAAGTCAGACTTAATTACTTCTCTGTTCTGTGTTGAAAAACTACACGTTTCTTGCTTTTTAGCTCATGTTGTCAGGAAAGACATAAATAAACTCAGCATTTCAGTAAACTTCATCTTTCTTACTGTATGCGGATGTGATTGAAGATGAGATGCGGCTCTTCTTGAAACAAAGTCGTTAATTGAGTGGAACAAACCAGATTGGGAGGAGACAATCAGACTGTGTCTAACTGGTTACTTGTTGAGAACGCTGTCCGACATACATTAGCTTCATTATGCAGCAAAACCTTCTGACGTTTGTAAACAGAATAGTTCTGAATGACTGCTATGATTAATAGTAGGTTTTATTACTGGTGTCAGTTGCTTTCCTGAACCTAATGCATCATTGATCACAGTGAAAGGATTCACCTCACAATAGGCTGCACATATATTCAAGCTCATGGGCCCATGTCTTTAAATGATGTTGAGAAAGTTTATTTTGTCACGTCCTGAAATGACTTTTTTTTCCTATAACATATGTTATATTTGGGATTACACTTTCTTAGTAAAGTACAGATTCTAGTACTTTTGTTGGGTCGAGTCGCATCCGGGATTCGAACCCACACTATCAGAGTCAGGCACCTAATCACCAGCACACAAAGTCAGCCACCTAACCTGCTCAGCCACTGCGGCTTCCACAATGTGACTAATAAATAATATTCACCTAACTGTATCAAATTGTTGGTCTGTCAGTCTGTCTGTCTGATATGAAAAGAAAGAAAATGTAGTGCTTTTCTTTAGTGATTAGTGTGATTCAGATTAATTCCCAGATAATTACTTCATCCTCTTAGTGTCAGTCTGCAAATTTAGACATATTAGTCCAAAACATATAAGTACAGTTCTATGTGGTCGAGTTAGATTAGCAAATAATAGCCAAGTTTGGGCTATTGCCCTCAAAGGCAAAAACTGTAAACAATGATGTTATTGGAAGATCTTCAATAAAAGTAAAATGGTAAATAATAATGTTTTCATCAGAAATAAAGGGGATTCTGGAGATGGGTAGAATTGTGCAAGTCTCTAAGGCAGTAATATGTTGTTTAAATCATAGTTTCTAGATTATATAAATAGTACGAAAAAGTTGTCCCTAGAACTGTACTGTTTGCATATCAAGACATGCATATTATAAGGATAGAATTACTTTACATCCATTGACATATTCAATACAGCCTTGGAGCAAGGCTAGGGTGTTGGTTGAAAGTGGTATTTGAATTTCAGAACCCCCATAAATGTGACAAGCACCACTTGACTTTCATGTTTAATTTCAACACAGCCAAGTAGAGTCCATGTCAGAAGCTGTTTCACATATTGATTAACTCCCTTTGCAGAATGGGATGAGTCCACAACATTTATGAACATCAAATAACATATATGTAGAGCTGTCCATGTTCATCATGTGTATTTACTATTGGAAATAGTTAATTTGAAGGCTGTTCACAATGCTGCCTCCAGCCTAGATACCTGACATTTATGTCTAACATGAACACAAGTTTGTCTATCATTGATCCTTCATGAGGAACCTGCCAGCCATGCCTACAATGAAATGTTTTTATTTATCTCGCCCATCAAGAACCTGCAAATAAAAGGAGACGAGTGTGTTTTTGTCCATCTCTCTTTGTGGCCTGCTAAGGCAAAGACTTGGGATTAAACAGTTCAGTAAAATCTATTCATATCTTCATTCATGACTTGAGTTTCATTTTGGATAAGAAACGCTTGTTGCTTCTGCTTGACATGTGTCCTTCATGCAAGGAAAACTCTGATGACTTGCTTTTTGAGAGCATACAAAGGTGTCCATTCAAATGTTGGGCATCCTGTGAAGCTTTGTGTATTTGAGTGAGGCCTATTTTGAATATTTATTGTTTGTGTTGATGTATAAGGGGAATACAGTGAGGAGGTCTCACCTGTAAAGTTGTTTGGGGATGCCACTGACCTCCTGATCTCTAGACTTGGCTTCAACATGCTGTGTGTAGACACTTGGGTGGAATGATGGACAAATACAAACTTGGAGTGCTCCTAAATAAGTGAACAATTTGGCTGCATCAGCTATATATCCAGCAAGAATTTTAAAAAGTATCATTTTCCCTGTTTTCAATCTGGCTGTGGTTAGATATTTTCTTTTTTGGTGTGAGAATTTATTATTTGGAAGACCATTCCACGGAAGAAATGCATTATTGCATTTGCATGCATCATTGGATTCTGATGACTTCAATTCAAGATGTGCTTGTTCATCAATGACAGTGTCTTGAGAGGAGCTGGTGACTAAAATAGTGTCTTGTATCTGACACTGAAGATCTATGAATATATTAAGATTAACGTCACTCTCAACATAAACACAGTAATGAAGGATCTGTTTCATTGATTTTTTATGATGGTTGCCTTTCTGTAAGGTATGTCATGGCTAGGGTGCATACTAGTATTCTAACTCTGGTACTTTGATAAGACATGGCATAACTTTTGTTATGGAGGATCGATAAGATCGAATTTTGGGAAGTTAGGAAAAGCTCATCATGCTTTTGGAATGTAAAAGCATCAGTGTTGGCTTTTGTATTTACTGTCAAGGAGCGACACATTCTTCAGTAGGACATATTTGACAGCCTGCACGATTGGGTTTTCTTTTTCTACATGTACAGTTGAGGGTTGGCTCAGACGAGATTTTGTGTTTAGTACAAAGTTTGAAAAAAGCCATTCTTCCCAGGACAACTGACTTCCTGTCATTACATTGACGTTATTGTGTGACTGAACTGGCCATGTGGAAGATGCTGCTGATATTGTAGGTGAATATCAAAATTTAATCCAATTTGGTGTTCAACGTTTATGTTTCCAAACTGGATCTACAAGGAAGCCAGTACCACCTGCCAGACTGTGACTAACCTTCCAGTTGGTCAGATGCCAGAGGACCTTCTCCAAGTATTTATTATTCACAACAGTCTGACCCTACAACAAGGTATTTGGATGATGACCAAAACTAATCCATTGATCTAAATTCACAGACTTGGAAACTGTGATTGTGTGAGGTCATATGAAACATGCCAACCTGGTGGTAGATCGATTGATCTTGTGCTGGAAAATTAATATTGTATTAATGAGACAATATTCTGCTTTGGCACGATTACATCATTGTCAGACGACTGAGTACAGACCCATCCACTCCATCGATCTACGTTCATGTTCATTGAGGCACATGATGAAAAGCATGTAGGAAGACTTGTGATGTAATGTGGAGACATTTAAGGGACGTACCTGTTGGACAATGAATGGTTGTTTCTCAACTTTCCACCTTAAACCTATTGATCCGTATGGGGCAGGAGATAATGATATTTCTTGCTGAGTCGGCAAAGTACATGCTGTCTGAGACCAGGTTGACGAATCAGCATTACCAAGGACCAGGATCCTGGAGCGGTTTGCTCTGACTATGGTGTCTACTAATGAGTATTTCCTACAGAGGTCTGTGTGAACCAGAGTAATATGGGAATGATTGGATACATACAATCAGCATGAGATGTACTCTCAGCAACTGAAACTATTGTTTGTCACGGAATTGATTGCAGGTACCAGTGTGGGAGCTTGGATATTTTGTAACCAGTGCATTCCTGTCAAAAACTGCCTCAACTGCTCCACCTGTGTGTTACCTGACTTGCAATGTCATAGGATTACTGGACATGCTTTGTATGCACACATGCTGTGTGTTGATGAGTATAATCACTGAGATTGGTAATGTGCAAGTGGATTGGTGCAGTTTACAATGCTTCTATATCCAGGTGTTGGAACCACCCCATGTTAAATGTACAACAGGATTGTACAAGTGTCAACGAGGACAGAGGATCAGCGTTGAGTAACTTAATGATAATGTTGTAAGTGGAGTGTTTATCCAAGCCTGATGTATCTGCTATTGCACTGACTGACAGGCAGAGCACAGGTAGGAGGGACAGTATTTATAGGAGGCCAGGTATTTGATTTTGTGTTGACATCGCAGCTGTGAAGTTCTAGCATGTTGTGGGACATGGGACAGAATGAGAACCACATAGCTTTTTGAGAAATCTAAATTCTTAAATTTGTATCTGAACGAAAAGAGACCTAAACATGACAAAATCAGAAATATGTTTGCTAGACACAAATGGCATTGGGATATTTTCAATATAATGTCAACTTTTGATGTGGCATTCAATGTATCATAACCAAATTTAGAATACATTCCTTGGACATTTTGGAGCACAGTCAGTCAATGTCCTAGAAACTGAACCAGTTTGAAACTGAAATCACTATTTATAGCAACTGAAAGTGTCTTTGAAGCAATAAATGGATCTAGCTAGGATTATGTTTATCATAAGTGATAAGATGCATCGTACTTAGTGATCAATGATAATGCAGACTATGTGCTCCTAGCCATGTTGACAGTGGGCTGTCTTATCACCTACCTGTGCACGTTCAGGTAGACACTGTGTTGTGATTCTCCTGTATCACATCCTACAGATAACGGTGATACACACAGGGTCAGAAGGAGTGCAGGGTTTTCACTGCATCATGGGCATGTGTTGAATGGGAGTTGATCCGTGACATGTTTCAGTCAGGGCATAGGGAGCAGGTTAAAGCCTCCTGGTGACAGTAGATGCCTCTTCAATCAAGATGAATCTCCACAGCCGCAGGCTACCTGGTGAATAGTACCTACTTTGACTGGTTGAGACACTTTCAATGCTTTATAATCAGCGTGACACAGATTTCGCTTTTATTGCTGTGGAAAGTGAAGAAAGAGTGACGGGTGCTACTGAGGACTATCTGGAGTCAGTGTTGATATTATCCTTGAAATATTCAGTATTTTGTGAACTGTCAATCATGGATCACCCTCATCTTTGACTTCTGAAGCGTGATAATTTTGCCTTTAAAAGTAACTGACAGTGTTTGACTTTCAGTCGTGTGTGAAGGAGACGGATATCTTGGAGAAGTTTAAGGGTGATTAAAAATGAGGACTTTCGATTTTGTTATGTGAATACCTTTGATAGTTCCCATCACATGTATCAACATGGGCCAAACTACATACTGCAATACCCCATGCTACACTACAGTGAGTGATGTGCTGAAAACTTCCTTTGTCATGTTTGTGTATGGAGGTGAAGGCTGTTCAGGAGAAGATACTTTATGAACAATTTTTTTATGGTGTTTTGGCAAGAGAGGAGAGGTTTATTTGACACCTAACATTGATGTGATTTTCTTGAGAGACATCAAGATAGTTTTGTGTGTATTAGCATCATGCACAAGTAGATGACGTTTTCAATACAGACATGGGCTGCTGAATTACGAAGTCCGGTTTCCTGTGTTGTCACCTGCACTCACCTGGGAAGGTGTTGCAGATATTGTATTCAAGTGCATGTTGACAAGGATTGGCTTTTGCGGATTTGTGTTGAGTTTAGGATATTGTGGTCACTCCCAGGTATATGTGAAGTTCATTCTGAATAGTGGGATGATAATCGCGCTGTGCAGGTTTGACAAGAATATTTTTACTAATCTAGATTTCATGAAGTAGATGTCTGACACATCAAAATGAATGAAAGAACTGACCCGAGACTGGTGTCATCCCACAGATGAATCGTGTTTGTTTGAGAACAAACAAGTGAACTGCAGTTGATTTTACACGTCTGCAAGGCCTAATTTAGAAGGAAGGTGTTGAGATATCGGAAAATATACTCAGGGAAAAGTTTCTGTCTCAGAAAAGATTTTGTGAATATCACAGACAAAGTTATGTATGTTATATTTTATTGAACATTTCATGTAGTCGGTTCTTGATACTCTATCCTGTGTACATGAAACAGCTGTAGTCTGACAGAATGGGAGACATGGAACAGCATGGAGACTGGACGACATCGGACTATGATGCGGATTCTCTAGGTGGAAACTCAGGGGGCGAGGAAGATGCTACTGAAACCCAGGAATATCAATCAAGAAGTGGGAGTTTGTTCCATGAGAACAATTGCTTTCACAGTGATTGCAAATGCTTCAATTATGCTGGGTATGACGAGCACAAGAATAGTGGCAGGTTTAGTAATGACCCAAACCTTGGTGAACCTGGGATGAAACATGGATGCTACAATATTGGATGGCCTTGTGTGGAATCTGGTTTGGGAAGTAATTACATAGACATGTCTACAAAGTCGCCTAGGATTTCAGTACAAGGCCAGCCATATCTAGATAGGACCCTAATCAATCAATTTCATCATGACACTTCCTACAACAACAATCAGGATGTGCATTGTGATGTGAGGGATGTGTCTCAGGTGGAATCATACCAAAGTCCAGTCCAGTACAATCTAGGGGATAATCCCCAATACGATTCTTATATTCATCATAGAAATAACAATTTGCTATCCAATCAAGGTTCGTTTTCCAATACTCATGAAACCTTTGATAGACAGTTACATTCCAGGAATACAAACAGGTTTAATTCATTAACAAGTATTGACGAAGAACAACCCCTGGCAGTGTCATCTGAACAAAGTGATGTCAACTGGAGAGATTGTGTGAACAAGCAGTTTCAAACTCAGCAAACCCGTAACCGAACTAGGAATTATATGGTGCTGCCTTCCCAGATGTCCCCTTTGCATCCTCAACTTCAACCTCAACCTCAACCTCAACCTCAACCTCAACCCTCAACCTCAACCTCAACAGCATCCTCATCTTCACCTGCAACCATATCATCTTCAAGATAATGCTCATCCTCAACACCAGTCAATGTACATTCCAGCTTACTCAATAGAAGGTCGTCCCTACCAGTCGCATGGTGAAGGTGTTCAACCTTTTCTTATATGTCAACAATCACAAGGTGGTTTATATACAAGTCAATCACAAGTCAACCATATGGATCATACAGGTGCTGATGAACCACCTAACCATCTTCAATCCTCTTTTCCCGTGGTTCATTCTTCCTGTGAACCTGAATGGGTTCTTGACGGTCAGGCAAGTGTTACACCGGATGACAGTTCAGAACCTTCAGAAACATACCTAGATGTGTATGATGAATTCCATCCACTTCTCCAACCAGATACTCAAGCATTAAAACAACAAGATTTGAAAGAATCACTGCTTCCAGAAAATCAACTAAGAGGAACAAACAGTTGTCAATCCATTCATCATCCACAGTCTCCTAATGGAAATACATATTACCAATTGGAAGGAAATGTACAAACTCAGCCAGTTTATACTGCTCAGACAATTTGTCCGTCATATCAGTGTGTTAAACCACAGGTTGAATCTGACATCCTGACTTCACCAGAGGATGAATTTTACGATGCAGTGGATGATCCTGTACAGTATGATGCTGAGAACCAGGACTTGGAAGGTCATTTTTCAGTAAGTTGGTGTAGCTGTAACCTTCACATACAATGTAACTATTTACTGTATATCATATTTAATTACTGTATCATCTAGTTTCAGCCTTAAACATTACTGTATGATGTTGTGATGGAAAAATACATATGCTTCTCGTCACTGGTAAATGCTGAACAGGCAGTATATGTTCCTTTTGGAACATTATACAGTCTCTGACTTGAGTCACTTGTCTAAAGCTGGATTCTGGTAAAATTCTGTATGGCCCAGTAAGTCCTTCTGAACAAAGGTCCAAATGATAACGCTAAAATATACTGAACATGATGCTACAACCAAAGTTTGGGTTAGTAGACAGGAAACATTTTAGCATAAACGATTATATATAACCTGTTCCAGCCTTGAAGGTGGGAGTTAATCTTTGAAAAATATTGTCCAAGAGATTCTCTCTCCTCTGTTACAATGATTTACTGTTTCACAGGGGAAGTGATACAGTTGAAGCAGTGTGGTGGAGCAACAGGAAACTTACTGCACCGAGTGTATAATGCTGTCAGTTAGACCAACCTAACTAGGTGTATAATCACTCAGTTGGTGTTCTGTCGACCTCTCACATAGCTTGTGATTGAAAGGTTCAGAGTGTAGAGTACCAGTAGGGCTCTACTGTTGTGGCAACTTTGAAAAGGCAGAATTTATATTTGATGGCTGACTGGAAATAACAATTTGCTTGTGTTTAAATTCAGAACAGATTGGGTATGTTGTTGCTTGTTATTTGAGGGTGTAGAAAATGAAGCAAGTGTAGCACATAATGACACCCCCATTAATCAAACTGAATATGAGTCATGTTATTTTGGAGGTCGTGTGAAAAAATACATTGCTGTGATATCAATTACCTCACCTACCCATATCAAAACAGACAAGACTCTTAACATGTCTGTTGATGTTGTCAAATCATTTTTGCACTTTGATTGTTTTCAATAAATTGTGATCGCTAAAATGGACAACCTTGTCTATCAACATGATGGACATTAAACTTTAAAGGTTGTGTTCAGGTTGAATTAGTCAAGGGTCAAGTGACTCAGTGAAGGATAATCCTGTATAACAGCAATATGGTTGCTGTGTTCAAAAGTGCAGCACCTTTTGTATCAAAGCAGTTTGTGCGAAGACCTTGAAGTCTACTAGGAGAGTGCTCCCTCAGTATCACCATCAGCAGATATTACCTCATATATGCATAATATAATTGTCTCTCATAGCATAACAGATTAAGTATCAGGGGTGGAAATAACTTTAAAATTGATAGTGTACTCCAGTACAGTGGCACATGTAATGTCACTTGCCCTGATAATTTTTCCACTATACCGACCGTTTTCTTGCTGATTTTTTAAATAAACAACAGAATTAACACTGGAAAGTCAACTGGACACCGGTACAGTGTGACATACAAATTGCTTGCCCAACAGAAAAAAACACTGGACTCGGACGTCGGGCAATGGGTTATTTCCACCCCTGAGTATACTGATATGAAATAACTGTAGTGATATTAAACTTCTGAGTATTATGGGAGAGATGACTGGGTAACCTAGTGATGTTCTCATGTCAAGCCAAAGGTCCAGGCTTCTTTAGCCACTTTGGTACAAAGTGGGAGGCATATTTCTGATGTAACCTACCATGATATTGCTGGACTATTGCTCCAAGAGGTGTAAAATTACATTCCCTCATGCTTTACATATGGGCCATCAGAAGGTTAATGCACCGAGAAAAGACGAGGCTCCAGCTTCAGACTAGAGATTGCTGACCAAGTCACTGATTCTTTTCCCTAATAAGCTTGACTAGATGTGAGTAGCCATCAAACATATGAAAATACTGATGTCATTATGTATAATGGAGAAGTAAGTGTTGACATCCAGGAATGCTTTTGACTCTTTTGCTCACTGAGGAATTGTGCTAAACTGATCATTTGCCTGAATCCAAGTGTCAAATCTTTTGTACAGAACCACCTGCTACTTGGAAGAAGACACATTGCTCTTCCTTTCATATGGCAGTGAATGAGTTGACAAGAAGGTTCTTACCGTGTCTAGTCAGTAACTGACAACTGGTGTATGGAAGGCTAGGGAATTGTTAAGATAAATCAGTAGATGTCATGCAGAACAGCAGAATAGTCCCTTGACTAAGACCAAGCATGTTTACTGACAAAATTGGGTACCTTTGACCAGAATCTTAAATAGTTTCTTTATTCAATGGTTCTTTGATGTAGACTAAATTGCTCAAGGCTTTTGTTAGAGCAGTAAATTCTGATTAAAATTAACTTCCAT